AATCATAAACATTATACATTTTTACTGAAAATTATCAAAATCGGACGACTACCATATATAACTCGCATACCTGATTCATTCAGATAAGAGGCTTTGGTCTAAAAATCGAAAACCGTTAATTGAAAAATTTACTAATTTTCTAATAATTATTGGGGTTTGTGCCCAAGATCCTCCAAATGGTGTAAAATATGTTTTCTTTTTTGATTGTTGCGCAAAAAATAAAAATATGTATGTATATACAGATATGTGCACATTAGCAAAGGTTTTTAATGTGATTATTTTGATAAAAGCGCCAATTCTTTGATAAATAGCCTAATGTTAGTCCTGTTCGATGAGCTGATGTACAGAAACAATTTTTACCAATACAGCCCTGCAACATTGTTACATTTTGACACGAGAACGCGACGTACGCTTCTTTTAAATATATCCGTTTAAATATTCGATGTAAGACTTCGGAGGTCTTTATTCTTAATACATATACTACATTTTATTTAAACTAAAAGCGTTTTATTTAACGAAGAATATTTGTCATCCACGCAAGGTAACGTATCAACAAACACTTGCGTCAGAAGCAGGATTGTGCTACCACGCCTTCATGTGTATTGTCGTATGCATTATATAAGTACGCGCTGAGAATTTGCTAATTTAATTGACGTCTTGTCGCTTAGGTCAAGGGTTCGAATTCAAGTTTGTAGGTTCGTATTATTTTCTTCTTAATTTGCACGTCTTCTGCTCGTAATTTTTCTCTTTGCTGGCTCGCATCGCAAGACTACTCGCTAAAGTCTTCTATTATATAACATGAGATACAATATATTGTTGAGTTGTTGCCGGGGTACAACCCAACAAGCCAAACGTCGTCAAATTCAGTGCAGTTTATAAAACGTATTGAAATCCTAAAAAAATCGTATAACTGGCTCGTTCGCAAAACATTCGCTAGTAAATTGAAAAACGAATTAACGACTCTACTTAGCTTAGGTGATAGAGAATACAAATAAATACAATGCTAATAATTTATATCTACAAAATCAACACAAATATGGTAGTGGTCAATGATGATCTTATATCGGAAAATGTACTTCTCGGCAAAGATGATGAAAATACTTGTCTTATAATCGATAACCGCAAATGACGCGTTGAGCAGGTACGTCAAATTAATGTCAATGAAGACTCAAACGAAACGTAAAAAAAATTAAAATTGTTTTACATAACGAGTCATAAATAAGTCATTTCGAGTCCCATTTGTTATTCGTCAACGTGGACGCCTTAAGCCGAGAATCGGACCAACCTGCAAACGAAATTGATCCGTCAGGCTTCATTCTCAAAATATCCAGTCATAAAAACGTCTGGCTCCTCACAATACAACTCCAAGACGAAAAATGACGAGGTAACAAAATTTACATAGGTATAAAAATTTACCTTTCAGTAAATTTTGTTACCATTTCCTATTCTGAGCTCACAGTTACTCTGTAAATTTTGTTACGAGCGGAATAGGAGGTAACAAAAAGATCTGCTGTTTGATTTTGTGATGTAAGTTTAAGAAAAAATAAAAAACTAAAATGGGTTGGCATATTTTAGGCCTGGAATTCATTGAAGAAGAAGAAAAAAATTCAAAAAGCCGTAATTTAAGAAGTTTTCGAGACTAAAGAATAGCCCTTTAATTTGTAAGATTACGTTTTAATTCTACTTTTTTTGTTGCCCAGGCATATTTTCCATAATTACGTTCAAATATTTATGATTTAATAAACAATTTAATCAAACTTTTTAATTTTTTGTGCACCGTCTTCCGTCTCGATGTGAATATTCTTCTTTGTTACTTTACCATTGCCAGTTTGACAAGGACAAAAAAGCGGTGCTGCCAAAGTAAAAAGATTTACTTTACCGGTAACAGTGAGAAGAAGCCTGTAAATGGTAAATCACCCGGTGAGAACACCATAAAAGCTGAGTACTAATTACGTTATCATCGCTTATATCGCTAAGAACACGATGGGTAAATATTTTTTGTTCCAAAAGGGGTACGCTGGTGCATTGTACAGCTCTGCCACGACCAAGCGAGAGACACCACACTGGAAACGACTATTCAACGCATCAGAAAGATGTAGTGATTTCCGCAAATGTTATCAGACACGACGTTCAGGTAAAGCCAATTTCGTTTGATCGTAATCACCTGGATCACAAGGGTCCATTCATTCGCAGCAAGCAATACTAGCTATATCCGACGCATTCAGTAAATTTGTAATAGTCAAGCCCAATCAATTACCAGCAGCAATTCACGGTGATATTTTCGACGACCATTCTACACTACCCTCCGAAGGATAACGTAAGCAATCTGCAGTAAATATATCCAACGAACGTGAAAAGTGGTAGCAGAGATTCAAAAGACAACCAGAACTGTCTTGGAAAACGAACCAGCTTCTAAAGATGAATTGAGAAAACTTGAGCCGAAGTATCGCGGACCATATATTGTACGAAAAGTTATCGGTAACGCTAGTTATTTATTGGAAGATATACCAGGGAGCCAGATAACCAACAAAAAATTCGGTTCAGTATACGGATCTGATAAAATGAAAGCATGTTGTAGAAATTGTCCCAAATTGTCCTGGATCGGGGACGATTTGGGCCTGAGGGCCGCAATGTCACGCCACCTAAATACATCGTTGACGATATTGACTCATCACCGTTAAATGAAACACTGTTACATTTTCACACTGTTACATTTTCACACGAGAACGCGACGTACGCTTCTTTTAAATATAGCCGATTAAATATTCGATGTAAGACCTCGGACGCGCGTGTATACTATTGTAATAACTTTAATATTCTTAATACTTATACTACATTTTATTTAAACTAAAAGCGTTTTATTTAGCCAGGAACGTATATATAAACTCTTGTGCATGACACAATCTTTACTGAGCCACGTTCGCTGAGACATAAAGCTAATCGAATTTTCAGAGACAGAGACCATTGACATTCTGTTACTGCAGTTTTAACCCACTCTTCTTTTCCGTTTCTCCTACTATTAATTTAATAATATTTTATACAGTATTAACCAAAACTAAAGCACCATATGCAATTTTAGCTAGTGCTGTTTTCTTTAAATAAATAAATTCGAGTCTCTCATCTTTTTGGCCCAACTACGTAGCTTATGGACTCTTCCTAGACAATATTTATTTAGCAATATTATACAACTAAGCATCTTCTGCCTAATTAAGCCTTTCAGCTACTCTTCGTGATGTTCTTATATTTTAACGTTTCTCTTAGCTTCGTTGGCACCTTCCCCCCCCCTTTTTAATAAAAGGAAAACGTCAGATATTTATTTAGTGTTGTTGTTGTGTAGTGAATCGAAGTGAAACGAATGTGAATGAAAAAAATGCTTTGTTATCATCCTCTTAAGGACAAGTTTTAAGGATGCAAACATGTGTCATCCTCCTGTAACTTGTAATAATATATAAAAAAGGATTTACGTATTTATACTTTAGCCTCCATGAAGCGTCCAAAACTATCAAACTATCAAAGTTTGATTATTTTTGAAGGAGTTGCCACCTGTCCAGAAAATGAACTATAAATATGTTAGTAAACTATTAAGGTATATGCTAGATATAAGATACAAAATTTCAAAGAAAATTTGTGTCAAAAGTATAAAATGACATTTTTTTAAAATTCATGTGGGAAATTCCTACAAATATTATTGAAGTGACTAATTGCTAAAAATATTTACAAATTTTTAGAAGTCCCATTTAATAAAAAAATATACTTCAAAACAAATATTAACTACAAAATCGACTCATACAATCAATTGCGAAATATGAGGTATTCTGAGAAATATGACGAAATAACCTACATACATACATACACGTATATGAGAAATCAGTTGCTTGGAAATAAAATCAGACGATTATGATGTGGTTGCAACAAATGATTAGTGAAATATAAAAATACACTAGCCTACCAAAGTTCTTATTTAAACTGAGTTATTAATTTGCAAGTGAATAAATTGAGAGAATGGAAACGGTGGACGGGCATAGCCACTAGATCCTTCCGATTATGTCGCAGTAAATTTTGATGCTATCGCAAAATTTCTCATATTCAAGAAAGGTATTATATATAGTACATAAACATAAATCAGTACATTGAATTTTACGTGCTAAACAATTTAATATATTTGAATGCATATTCAATTAAAAATTTTCTTATTGAGGGTCAGGGTTCACAGTAAACAAGAGATAGCAAGATCACGTATTTAAAATATTATTGTTTTTTAAAATCATTGCTGATAACAAACGACTGACGTGCCTTCCCATACGTTTGGGAATTAATTACTTTGAGCAAATCCCAGTGGAGAGCCAACTCCCAACGTAATTGACGACTTAAATTTTTTTTAACTACCAAATGAGGAAGGTAAGTGGTAGTGGTAATAGTAATACAGTAAAAAAAATCATGAAAGATAAAGTATTGTGAAAAGTTTTGTGTTTTTTATGTTTATTAAAATGGAAATTTTAATTTCATCGGGATCCCTTCAGTTATTATTTTATACTAAAATAATTTTGCTGTTCTGAAAAAAGGTGTTTTTTTAGTCTTTAAGGAGTTCATAAAACGTAATAAATTTAGTATTCTCATTATTTGGATATTTATAATAAATATTTCTATTTTTTTTATTCTCTCTAAAATTAAATACATAATAAAAAAGCCGGTCTCTGAATTCAAAACATACTGAACTTGAGAGATACATAGATACATAAATAGATACATAAATCTGCACGGTTTCTAACCGTTATGTGCGTCTTCATATTCTTCAATCAAGCGGGGGGGCCTCTAGTTTTTCTCAGCCGCCTCATTCCTTGCGGAAGGGAGCCCACATATTTTCGCATCTGGTTTTAAAATTTTGAAAAGAATTCGAACTCTTTGAATTTACTGCTGGGCGTATTTTCGAATAATAAAAACATTAGTATATTCGTCAAAACACAAAATTGATTGTTTTTAATTATTCTTACGTGGTATATTTAAGTAACTTTCACTCAAAGAATCTAGCTAAAATTCAGTTCAATTTTTGAAATTCAACTGACAAGATGCCCACCTCTGCAGATAGTGTTTTCGTTGCTCGATCCGCTGGTATATCCGCCGAAGGAGTGCGGGATCAATATGCTGATGGAAAAGCCGCAAAAGTGTGGGAAATATTTATTGGGGACAAAAACTCAAGAACAGAGAACTATAAGAATTTTTTAGTTGAGTTACTTCGCTCAAAAGGATGCAAACGGGTCCTTGACGTGGCATGTGGTACAGGGTAAGGATACAAAAACTAAGTTTAGTTATTCAAATTCTTAAATAAAATTAACTTATGAACATCTAGTGTTGACTCCATCATGCTACTAGAGGAAGGCTACGAGGTTGTTTCAGTAGATGCTTCGGACAAGATGTTGAAATATGCATTGAAAGAACGTTGGAATCGTCGTAAGGAGCCTGCTTTCGATAGTTGGAGTAAGTCAATTAAATATTTCTTATAATGGATTTTCGAATATTTAATTGTTTAAATAACAGTTATAGAGGAAGCTAACTGGCTGACGCTGTATGACGATATAAAGCCAATTGTTGGAGATGGATTTGATGCTGTTATTTGTTTAGGCAACTCGTTCGCACATTTAATGGACAACAGCGGAGAACAATACGATCACAAGAAGGCTATAAGAAATTTTCAAAAGTGTCTTAAGCCTGGTGGAATTCTACTTATTGATCATAGAAACTACGATGACATTCTTCAGACAGGAGACACGCCGGCAAAAAGTATATACTACAATGTAAGTACAAGCAAAGTAGCATTTTATTTTTATCTCCGTGTACTAGTGTACATATATATATGTATTAACATAAATCTAAGTGAATTCGTTTAGTAACTCTATAGGAAAGCAGTTCCAGAGTTTTTAAAGTTTCAAAATTTGTTTAAAAAATACAAATAGTGTCTCACATGAAAAAGAGTCTTGCTTTGACTGTAATCTCATGTGGTATCGATCCTTCTCAATTCTGAAGAAACTTCTAGTTTCAGAGGCGTGACCAATTTCTCGTCCATTTTAAAATGATATATGTAGATATATATAATTCGCGCTTTATAACCACTTCTTCTTTGTGGTGTGCGGCTTAGAGTTCTTCCAACAAACATAGAGACCAGCAGTTTGCTCTATGTCGCCTCCGAACTGCTGATACTGCTACTATACCCAGGCTTGGACCAGGTTTGGGTTTATTTTGCAGTAACAAGAAAATCAGATTAACAAACGGTTCATAAGAATATCTCTGCTTTAAATTTTGTAATTTTCATGAACTTTGCAACCTTATTTAGCTTTGTATATATTTACACTTTATTGAGGATTTCTCAAATATTTATCAAAAGTATCGGGTATAAATTCTCCCAAATTTAATTAGTTCACATATATGATGTATATGTAAATGTCCACAACAGACACCTGATTTTAAGCTTCCTCGTACCAAATCTAATAGTCGTTTGATGGATAGCTTCTACAATGATCTACGTACAAACGGTAAAAGTCAACACCCTTATTTTGATGACGCTCGATCGTATAAAATCACTCTGATATAATTTTGTTAAATTTTTGTTGCTCATAAAAATGTCAGAATAAAAAATACAAGATTAGTCAAATGAGAAAGGTCAGAAAGTGAGTTTTACGTAAAAACATATGAAACTGGTTTTCTCGCATCGGTCAGCTTTACTCTCGACACGGCTCGGCATCTCGGCTTTGTTATGCCAGCGCAAGTTTGAATAGATTTTCTGTGTATGCAGCTAAAGAGTTTTCCTCACAAATATTATTAAATGGCGCAATATTTGATCAAATTTTTCAAACTTCTAGAACAAATACAAAATAAACAAAATTTACTCCTCAAAATACTCGAAAAGAGTCGATTGTGTTCGTAAATTTTCGTTTTTTTTTTTTTCAATGCTCCAACAGTTCAAAAATGCCCAAACAAAATTTTAAATTTAAATTATAACCTTATTATTTAGGCCCATTAGTCTCCAGTATTCATGGACCATCTGACTTGAAATGATAATTGTTATTTTCTTGAAATCAATAACTCATGTCAATGATTTGTTTCGAAATATTTGTTTATTGCGTTTGGAAATGAATGATAAAGGATTTTATAAAGAAATATTGTATTTGTTGTCATATAAATATGTATAGATATTGAAGATGAAACGGGGAACTTTTTGATTCCGAATCCATGCCAAGCAAAATTTTCAAACTCGACAGACATATTTTAAACAATTATTATATATTACCTTTGTATTCGGTAAAACGATTTATTATACCATTCATGGACGTGGCTGGGCATATTAACTTTGGTCCAAAAGATGTAAGTATCAGAAGGACAATTAAGTTACCCATATGCAGTCGTTCATATATGCTTGCTGTTGAGATATTTAAACCAAACTGGCTACTTAGATGTATTTTTCTGTATTGATCTTTTGACGAATCTAGCCGGATCGGACCACCTAAAAATACTTAGATATATGACCAATTTTCAGATTTGGGCTTTTTGTCATAAATCCTTAAATAAAAGTATCCAAGAGAATAATTTATTTAGTATTCTGCACGCCTAAATTAAATGATAGTTATTAGACTTTAGGTTAATTTTAAGTTGAAAAGTTTTCATTGGAATATATATATAATTGGAGCATTGTAACCGGTGAAGTGATTTTTCGGCCCTGCTTCTTCTCCAATTTCTGGTTTTGCGTCTTGATGTTTTCCCAAAGGCTGATGGTTTTTTTTACGAGGAGCATTTATCTCACGTGCGAAAATTCTTGCCTTTGCGATCAGTACTGATCAATTAGGAGCCAACCTCGTCTGTCTGCCTATTCTCATATAAAACACCTAATTATATTATAAGTGAATTTGAAATTTAAAGTAATAAGATAACACGTCTGCTTTTAACTTGAGGCACTAAAATTATTAATTTATTTCAAAACATTTGTTTGATTGTTTTTTTTTTTCTTTCAGACAAGTCACACAGCCGACATAAAAACTTCCGTACTCTTCTATTGTGGTAAACCTGCAATGGTGTCTTTGGACTACGAGATTGAAGGAAATAACTTAAGCAGCGAATTTCGTCTTTCATACTACCCTCACCCGCTACAAAATTTCAAAAAAATGTTAAAAGAAATCTTCGGAGAGAAATCAATGCACAAGTTATATGGAGATTTCAAAGAAATCAATGTGGAAAAGAAACCTGCATTTTACATACATCTCATTGAGAAATAGATATAAAGACACACATACATATGAATTTCTCAACTCATTTTAATGTACAAATATTATTTTTTACATGAATGTATGCTCTAATAAGTATATTTAAATAATAATTTTCTTCTATTATAAGCAAAAACCAGCTTTATATATTTCTCTGATACTTCCCTTTAGCTAGTTAAGCATATAAACATACATACATATGTTATAGTTGTATAGAAATCATTAAGCCAGGGTGATGCCATATTACCTTCTGGAACTTTGTTTTTTAAGTTTTAATACTCACCCCGACCTCAAAAGTCAGTTTTTACAAGATCTCTAAACATTCCTGTTGCTCCTTGGAGTGTATCCATTGCAATTAAAAATGCGACATTGAGAATGAACAGTTAAAAAACAATCTCTTTGACATAGGCTTCAAGTAACGAATAAGTTGACATATTACATCTCTTTTAAAAATTATTAATAGTTTCTAGAAATTGGTATCTAGCGGTATTTGGGGTCGCTAATTATGAATCTGACGTCAGATTTTTAAAGTTGAAAATGCCGGTTCCAATATAGCGTTCAACATTATTTCACCCCTAAAAACCAGAAACGACTTTATCTAGCAAAACGGCCAGACACGGGTATTTTTTTTTTTTGGTTCTAAAAAACTTGATTTTGGGTTTTAGTTTTATGGAACTGTCTCGGACCATATATTTTTGGGGGTTAAAGCTGCTATTTTGGAAACCACCACGTTTCCTCATCAGACTTCCTTTTCCAGACACCTTTATCCGAATTAAATTCGAACTTGGCATGCCCACAGCACGAGCCAATGGCTATCCCATTAAGCTACATGTGTGCCACTGTCACTTATTGTTGCTTTTACTTTTTCCCTATTACCTACATATACACGATCAAGTGCTCAGATATTCTGTAGCTGTAAGACTTGGCGTGATGTAGTTGTTTTTGCGAAGAATTCCCCAACAAATATTTTAAGCCACGGCAAGGCTCTTCCTTAATTCCTAGATGCTTTTTCAGGTCATTATTTTGAAGAATAGTTTTTAGGTTTTAGTTTTATGGAATTGTCTCAAACCTTGTATTTTTGGGAAAGCGTGATTTTTGACGGAGAGTGTTATACACCATATCGATTAATTATATGATCTAAAACCGAGGGCTGCCAAAAAAAACGCTCCGCCATGCTGAAATTCTCCCAAAACCTGTACTGGAAAGGAAACGTCGATTTTTTAACTTTACAATGACAGCTCATTTCACTTCGCTTGGTAGCTGAAATTATGTGTACTACAAGTGGGTAATAACCACCTAAGCATTGCCAGCGGGAGTAAAAAAATAAAAACGATTATGATAATAAAAAAAAAACTCATCTTTATATTAAATTTATTTGCCACGCCTTTTTTCTTTCTACAAACATAACTAGAAATTTCGTTAAAAATGTCTTGTCTTGTCTTTTTGGAAGGTGTCGATTTCACATCTCTCGTTTTTCAATTTTGATTAGTGGCGTTTGCTTTAGCTTTATTGTTATATTTTCCACATATTGCAAATTTCCATACTCAAAATCGGTGGTAAATCTAAAATTTCTTACAAGTTTAGCCACTGCAATTTTTAAAGACAGTATTGCGTATTTGGAACCTGACAGAGAATTTCAATCAAAGATATTGCGGTCATCAAATGTTTGTATGTAAATCAATAAAAGAACTCTTACCAATGCAATTTCTTAGTCCCTTTGTAAAAGGTATGTAGGAATATGGATGTTTTCCTTCGATATTTGACGGTAAAAAGTTATCCGGGTTAAAACTACGAGCTTCTGGTCCCCAGATATCTTCTCTCCGTTGCATATTAAAAATATCGATTAGAACTTGTAGGCCCTTTGGCAATACCACGCCGTTGCTCAATTTTGTATCTGCAATCACTTGACGCCCGACGACTGGCACAGTAGACATTACACGCATGGCCTCGTCAATAATCATACTTATGTAGGAGAGTTGCTGTATGTCCGAATAACTCATTTCGAAATGTTCTTTTCGAGGGAGCAGTGAGGAAATTTCTTCGAAGGCTCTGTCTTGATATTCTGGATGCATTGCTAATAATGTTATAATATGCTTTAAAGTAGTTGCTGTCGTTTCGAATGCCTACAAATCAGTGATATATTTACAAACTCGTTTACTTATGAAATATATAATATTTAATTTATTAAGCCAAACATACACCAAAAACGATGACAATTGATTCATCTTCGACATTTTTTTGTGTGAAGTTTCCCTGCTGGAGCAATTCAATGGCGCGATTTATAAATATATTTCCATCAAGTTTCGACTTTTCCGATATAATTTTCGTCCGCTCCAGAATTAGCTATATATGTATATAACGTAATTAAAATGTTAATCCAAAAGACTTTTTTGTCTTAAATTTTTCGAGTTAACTTATTTTGCTTTTGCTGGACTGAATCTGAATTCAATATTATTTGGCGTTGTGAAAAATATTTTGTATACGTCTTTTAATTATACATACTTACATATGTAAAATTGTACAATCCGCACAATAATTAAAAGATGTTGAGAAAACTTACATTTCCAATGAATTTGCGAATTGTTGCTTTAGCCTTTTTGTATTTCTCATAATCTCCCAAAATCCAGACCAGCACCTTCATGCTAAGCCAGGACAAGGTTCCCATTTCAACAATTGTCTCTTGAACACTTAATAGTTAAAAGATATACATATAAGATGTTGCTTGAATTAGTAGGTATTTATATTGCGTTACTTACTATGGAAAGGCTTGCAATAAAGATTCGTCCACGCCCGAGTCAACGCCTTTATCTGACATAATCTGACCCATGGTAGTTTCTAAAAGTATGTATGATACAACAAACACAAAAATATCGTGTAAATTTAAGTGCCAGAAAAAAACCTTCCTGAATACACCTTTTGGCTCTTTTGAATTTAAGACAAGCGCGATTAGACCAGTTTCCTCCAAGTATTTTTTAAATTCTTAATTGCTATGATGACGGCCACGATAGCTGAGTAGTTAGCATTGAGAAGTGCCGTTCGGAAAGCCAGGGTTCGAGTGCTGGTTCCCCCAAAATCCATTAATAATTGATAATTAATTTAGTGTATTTCTAACATGAAATAAAAGCTCCTCCTAAAAATCCATCAGCCCTTCCGAGGCGGCTTACAATAATCTGTCATCAGGACGCACACCGAAATTTGAAGGAGGAGCTCGGCCGAAAATCAGCGTTTTCAAAACAATAACTACATATGGATTTAAATGCTATACAACAAACTTCATAATATCCTACGGAAAGGATAGGGATATGTAACTATTATATTTGCGTTAACGAAAAATATATTTATCATTGAATTAGACATTATTTGGACACTTAAGAATAAATTATCGGTTGAATGTCAATGTGCCATAAAATATTATCGAATTAATGATTTAGAAAATTTTATAACGAGTAGTGCCTTTATGATTTCGAGTTACGACTGATCTAACGCCTACAGGTATCAACTTTAGAGCTTTTTCATAAAAAAATCAGCGTCTATACTAATGTACATTAAAATCTGGATAATTTGTATTATGATACTTACGTGTGGCAATCGATAATGTAAAGTTTTGTAATATCGTCGCAAGATCCACATTAGAATTTTGGATCGTCTCGAAAACTTTTATTAAATTATCAACCTCTTTGTTAAAAATTGGTATAAAGCTTAACAAAATTTTGTGCGAAAAAGCTGGATTCAGTAATTTTCTGTGGTAACTCCATTCGGGATCTACACATGAACGTAACATTTGTAGGTAAGTGAATAATATTAATGGAGAGAAATTTTAAATTTTACCATCTAATGTGAACAGCCCTGGTCCAGTGGCATCTTCCACTCCTTTATAGACAAAACTCTTGTTGACACAATTTGGCGAGTTTAGCACATCTTGCGCTAATTGGGGCTCACTTACGACAGCTATTGGAAATGGGCCGATCCATGATAAAAAGAGACCACCATATTCTGTTTCTTTCTCTTTCAACATGTTCAACATATCTGTGAATGAGAACATTTTGTATGTATTATTATATTTTCATGTGTATGTATTTGAATAATTGAATCTGGACAAAAAGAAACTGAGTCCTGCCCATTTTCTGATGAGAAATGTGTGTATGTCCCCTGTACATTTATCTAAACATCTATCAAACAAATTTAATTTTTTAATTAGATATACAATACGTACGCTCTGTGGATTGCCTTAGTTTTATGAAGGAAATTTTAACTAAACAACCGTTTAGAAAGCAGCTTGCCGGAGGCTCACCAATGTGCATATTATATGTAATTATCTGTGTTCGTTGAGAAAAGTCAGTAAAAATTGGCCAGTAATGAAAATAAGAGAGCAAGATGTCTTACTCTCTCCCAGGGAAAAGAATTTACTGAGTTTTCATCGCGTTATACAACAACGTTAAGATTTTGATTCCACTCGTGGCATTTTAATTTAACGAGTTCTTTAACTATTTAATTGAATCATTGTTATTATTTAATTTAGTTTAACAAAACTATATTTGGGCACTTATTTTGTTAGTATATAATTATCATTGAGGTATTAATATTATTTTCATTTTAAATCAATTTTGTTTTGTCGACAAAAATTCATTCAAATGATCACAAATCAGCTGTGATTCACAATTTCTAGTTTTTGCTGAGTGAAATATTTCAAGCACCCTTACTACAATACATACTTGACGCTTTCGCCAAAGAATCCTACATAAAATTTAAATGCAGTCTATGTACNATTTTGTGCGAAAAAGCTGGATTCAGTAATTTTCTGTGGTAACTCCATTCTGGATCTACACATGAACGTAACATTTGTAGGTAAGTGAACAATATTAATAAAGAGAAATTTTAAATTTTACCATCTAATGTGAACAGCCCTGGTCCAGTGGCATCTTCCACTCCTTTATAGACAAAACTCTTGTTGACACAATTTGGCGAGTTTAGCACATCTTGCGCTAATTGGGGCTCACTTACGACAGCTATTGGAAATGGGCCGATCCATGATAAAAAGAGACCACCATATTCTGTTTCTTTCTCTTTCAACATGTTCAACATATCTGTGAATGAGAACATTTTGTATGTATTATTATATTTTCATGTGTATGTATTTGAATAATTGAATCTGGACAAAAAGAAACTGAGTCCTGCCCATTTTCTGATGAGAAATGTGTGTATGTCCCCTGTACATTTATCTAAACATCTATCAAACAAATTTAATTTTTTAATTAGATATACAATACGTACGCTCTGTGGATTGCCTTAGTTTTATGAAGGAAATTTTAACTAAACAACCGTTTAGAAAGCAGCTTGCCGGAGGCTCACCAATGTGCATATTATATGTAATTATCTGTGTTCGTTGAGAAAAGTCAGTAAAAATTGGCCAGTAATGAAAATAAGAGAGCAAGATGTCTTACTCTCTCCCAGGGAAAAGAATTTACTGAGTTTTCATCGCGTTATACAACAACGTTAAGATTTTGATTCCACTCGTGGCATTTTAATTTAACGAGTTCTTTAACTATTTAATTGAATCATTGTTATTATTTAATTTAGTTTAACAAAACTATATTTGGGCACTTATTTTGTTAGTATATAATTATCATTGAGGTATTAATATTATTTTCATTTTAAATCAATTTTGTTTTGTCGACAAAAATTCATTCAAATGATCACAAATCAGCTGTGATTCACAATTTCTAGTTTTTGCTGAGTGAAATATTTCAAGCACCCTTACTACAATACATACTTGACGCTTTCGCCAAAGAATCCTACATAAAATTTAAATGCAGTATATGGACATTAGAAATGAAACAATTATAATCCATCAAAACTTGTCTGACTCGCAGTGTGCTCAACCTTACAATTTGCTCGCAATTTATGGACCCCCACCGACTGCTCATTTCTCCTAAACATAGTTTGCCTTATATTTGAAGAATATTTATATTATGAGCTTATTATTAGTCATATTGGCTTACAGTTAAATATCGTGTATTCTGATTTAAGATGATAAAGACAACGAAGTTTGAAAAAAGAATTTGTTTCGATATTTAATAAATTTTTTTTGGTGCAAACAAGTACACGAAGACTAGCCACAAAAAATGTTGCAATTTTAATGTGGTTATTATTAGAATGAACAAGTCTGAATGAAGCTAAATTTCGCGACCAATGTGTAGCGGCTTAGTGCAAAAAAGGCGCAACTTTTCTCGCTCGCCCTATAATATCAACAGTCCAATTTATGAAATTACTATGGATAAAAATGTGAATGAAATTATACATATGTATGATTATGGAGCTACATCTTTTACGTCGGTAAAACTAAATATCTTTGGAAAAATCAATTATTATATATATTTGATGCTTGCTCATTATTTCGATTATTTTTGAAATACAACATCAATCAAGTGGCCGTCTTTATGGACCACAGCAAAATTAACTTCTTTTCCTACGATAATTTTGGCACAAATGTTTGCCTAATAAACATGTATAACCAAGTTAATCGGTTGGTAAAAGTCAAAGTTATTCAATGTTTACATATACATATATATATATAATTGGTGCTTTGTAACCTCTTCCATTTTGTGGTTTTTTTCGTCTTGATGTTTCTCCAACAACATGAAATAAACTCCTCATGAAAAAATCATCAGGCGTTCGGAGGCTTTATACTGAGCCGCCTTTATACTGAGCCGCCTTTACACTGAGCCGCCTTTATACTGAGCCGCCTCCGAACGCCTGATGATTATTTCATAAGGAGTTTATTTCATGTCAGAAATACACTCCGAGGGGTGGACATTTCCTATCGAAGGGCGACCGCAAGTAGAAAAATTAACTTAAATTAATTTTCCATAACTTTTGGATGTTGGTGGCACCGGGATTTAAGACCGAGCCTTCCGAATATAAATATGCAATGTTAACCACTCAACTACCGCGGCCGTCAATGTTCGCATACCGTCAAAAGAGATGGCGAGAGGATTATTTGTGAGGATTTCTAAGCTGCCACTTTGTCAAAAAGAAACTACAAACACAGAGCATACATGCATCATAGGCACATAAATGGAGGAAGCATTTTGCCGATGAGGCGAATATATTAAGTACTATTTTGAATTTGTAATATCATTCCATCACTCTAACCTCAAAGCCACCACAAATCGAAAAGGATTATTCCCAGTCGATTATGGCCAAGATAAAGTATATTCTCAATAAGAGCAAATTCTGATTTATTGAAAACGAGCATTAAATATTTGTATTTATAATTATGTTATTTAAAATATGATTATATTTTATTTATGTACTTTAGTTTCGAATATTTCTCGATGAATAATTTGGTTGAATAATTTAATAACATTTCATACCGTCTCTTCGTGAAATTTGTAAAGCGTTGCCCAAAAGAGGATATCCAATTTTACCAGGCAGTTTAAACATCAATTTGTAATATTTCCTGCGTGACCAAAGGATGGCGCACAGGGAAATAATTGTTATACTGATTAAGGAATACGCAGAAAGCATTTTTACTTTAACTCTTCACTTCAATAAAACTTATAATATTATACACAGAAAATCTATTTGTAAACCTTCGAGGTGATGAACGATGACTGAATCAACCGAAGTTTACATTTTTAGTTAAATTGTTAATGAATGTCATAAAGGTCATGAATATGAGTAGATTTAAGTAGTTATTTATGCTATTTGCTAATGAAAAAATTTGTTCATTTTTAAGTTTCATATAGTAAAAGCACAACCTATTTGGCATCTGAACTTCAAACTACTTAATTACTGCATATGTACATATATATATTTATGTAAGCAATACGAAAATACAGTTCATTCGATAAGCAGTACGTTGAACGAAATAAATGGTCATGGGTTCGAATCTTGACTGCAAACGACTTTTGAAACAGCAGGCATACAACAGCAATAACTTGATAATCAAAGCTGACCAATTTCAAATTAATTAATCGATTGAAAAAACTAAAATTTTTACACAAACAGGCCTATTCTGTCGAGGTAACAAAATTTACTTTGGTATTAAAATTTATCATTCAGAAAATTTTGTTGCCATTTCGTATTCTGAGTTCACTGTCACCCTGTAAATTTTGTTACCAGCGAAATAGGAGGTAACAAAAAATCTGCTGTTTGATTCTGTGTTGTAAGTTTAAGAAAAAATAAAAAACCAAAATGGGTAGGCATATTTTAGGCCTGGAATCCATTGAAGATGAAGGAAAAAGGGTAAAAAGGCGTATGCTAACAAGTTTTCGAGAAACTAATGACCCTTTTAATTTGGAAGATAGCGTTTTCATTCATGTTTTTTTTGTCGCTTAAGCATATTTTCCAAACTTTGTTTCCAATATTTATGATTTAATAAACATATTACTAAAACTTTTTAAATCTTTTGTGCTCTGTCTTCCATTTCGATGTGAATATTTTTCTTTTTACTTTACCAATTGGCAAATGTAATTTGACATAGACGAAAAAAGCGGTGCTGCAAAAGTTTTTTTCAAACATTTTAACCAGTTCGCCAGAATACCAAATTCAATTTCGGGTGTTAAAAAAAAGTAACGAAATTTACTTTGCCGTTAAAAGTGAGAAGAGGCCTGGAAGGGTGAATTGTTTGATATATTTCACTTACACATTTTATCGGTAATTTCTGTGCTTCAAAGAAAGTAACAACAAATCAATAATTTTTTACGTACTAATTAAATTAAATACTAAGGACATAAAAAATTGTATAATTGAAGTAAAAAGGAATGAATGACTTAGTTTTTAGACTGATGTAAGAACACCTAAGAAATTTTAAATCGGCGACACGGCTCTTCGCCTGAAAGTCACCAGCATCCACTGAGTTAATTTAAGCGATAACAGGCGAACAAGTGGAACTACGCTTTGAGTTTTCATTGTTTGTTTGTCGGCAAATCAGGTTTACATAGCTCAGTAAATTCTGTAACTTTTATAGACACGATTTGTCGGATCGCAAACTTGCGAATTTTGTCGCATGCGAAATATGCGAAAAGCAGAAAGAAGAATGACAAAAACAAATAACTTCGTTACATCAATTGTTTTTATTAAATGAATTGCAATGCATTACAAAGTTTATCAAATCAAAAAATATTATGGCCTCCACTTCCAAAACCACGCTACATGACTCTTCGCTCTGTAGGGGACCTACAAATAATGAGTATCACATATCTATAGACAGGTAAAAAGAACTTTGTTAATATTCTAGTAATTAAAAAAAAAAGTTGGAATGGAAGGCTTGTTCATGATTTCTGGCTCTCATGATAGGCATATGAGTGCCATCGATAGTTAACAAATGGAAACGATGATGAGGCAAACATTTCCTTTGAAGCCGCCTATTTAATGATAATAAATTATTGCGAAATCTAACCTTCTCAGGAAACATTGAACGGTTGACTGCTTCTGTCACGCGATGAATAAAAAAGTTTTAATGACGACCGACTCATATATAAATTCCCCACTTCTCTCCGACGGTACGTTGATAGCATTCAGTTGCAAAGAATTGCAAGGCGGTTAGAAGCTTTAATTGTATTAAAAGTGAAGAAAATATTTCAAAGTTATATTTTCACCTGGTTTTCCTTAGCTAATACTGTTATTCTTCTGTCTTTTAGTTGGCTGTCAAGGAAATCAGTTGCATATAAATCGAAGCAAACTTCTATCCAAAGAAGATACCTCCTCATCTTGGAATAAAGCGTTTGCCAAATACTCAAAAGCATTTCTGTTTAATATTTTATTTAATTTTTATATAACTTCGGCCATTTCTCGATTTACATTACTTTATTTTAACCTTAATGAAATAACAATATTTTGTCGATATCGCTAACAACTTCAAAATATTCGTCGCTTAGTTAGTGATTTGTCGCGTAGTTTGCGACAACAGCGAGAGCGAATATCATAACACATCTCTGACTACTGTGAACAATACTTTAAAACATAATTTTCATTAACTGCAAAAATACAGTTATGGCTATTTCCATATTCCTGTTATTCGATTTATTAGCGTCACTTCTTCTTTCTTCTTTTGCGTAGTAAGAGATATACCGCCTATGGATCCAACTAATAAGATAAGACTCTAATATTTCAAAGAAATATACTTATAAATTTTCATATAGCCTTCAGTAAATTCAGTGTTCACAGAATTAGCATCGTTTAACGAAATGCAAACGCCTTCTGACTCTGTAACGAAATTCGCTCATACGAATGAACATAATCTTATTGCAACATGAGATGTGCACTTTTTTCCTCGTAACGAGAAACAACTAAAATTAAAACAACTCGATTTAAGTTTCGATCAATAATTGCGCTTTATTCTTTATTTTCTATTTTCTTATATACTATTATTTTGTTAATGTTGCATTTTCGTTAGCGGAACAATTCTTTGTAAAATTCAATTTATAAATATATTTTGATATTCTTTGCGAAAAAACAATTAACAAAATTATAAATATACATATTAAAATTCTTAGGAATTAGTATACTTTGCAATTGGTAATATTCTTAATGAGTTCAAACTTCGTGTGTATGTGTGTATGTTCAAAATAACGTTAAGGGAATAGTGGGAGACACTATAACAATGTTCCACAACTTAATTTTTACATTTAATTTGGAGATGAATTTGCAATTTCGTGTTGAGAAAATTTCAGCCAGTAAAAACTACATACATTACGACCAGAAAGTGTCTGATTATTTTTCAGCACTTTTTTTGTTTAGTTGTTTCCTCTGTCCTAAATTACTAAGCCAAAAATGAGCGCGGTCTGTCAACCAGTTTTTTTGCAGCAGCTGTCGACCTCACTACCTTCTGCGAATTTTCTTTTACGGCCGAAATCGAGTCGAAACGGTGAAGCGAAGTGGTAACTTGAGTTTTGGAATCCAGTGAAAACGGTGGTATTGAACGAGTTTTTGGTCTTAAAATCGTTGGTAACTAAAGCTATGAAAGGCCCATAATTCCGGTCATTTACGACGGATGTTTTCGCGCAAACACCTCAAAACACTCAAATAATATTTTTTCGGGACCGTCTGTTCCATTGCAGATCATGATGAACCAAACTGCGACTATTATTATATCTCAATGTATATAGATACGAGTATAATTTGCACTTTGTATTCGCTGAAGCGATTTTCGGCCGAGCTCTTCCTGCAATTTGTAGCATGTGTGTTGATGGTTTTCCAACAAATGAGGAGATCTACAGTTTATACTAAGCCGTCTTCGAATGGGTGATGCTTCATGTCAAAAATGCACTTGGATGGCTTGACATTACCTACCGTGGGGCGATCGCAATTAGAAATTAGCTTAATCTTTATTTAAATTAACTTTCCATTCTATAATTTTTAGAAGTCTGGCCTTCCGAGCGGCAGTACGCAATGCTAAGCACTCGGCCACGGCGGCTGCCGTAAAAAACAAGCAAGAATTGAAAGTTAGGAATGTTGAATGGATATAATTTGAATATATTCTTATTTATTGTAAGCTAAATCCGCTAGCTAATGCTTTATCCAACCCATCGAGAATCTTCCGCCTGCAGCGAAGAGATGTTCCCGCCTTCTAAAGAGAGCGCTGTAGTTTGAAAAGGGCTCAGGGTAAAATAACTCGAGCTGTCATGTTTGCAATTTAGTTTTTAAGATTTGTACACTTACTGTTAGGCTTATATTATAGAAGATCCAGTAAATAAATGAATTCTGTATATAAAAAAAAATTGTAACCTGTAAGCCAATTTTCGATTTCTTTAATTTACAACATCACGACGCAAAGTTGTTGCTACGGCCTCAAAAGAAAAATTAAGCTCCTGCGCGGATTTTATTTAAACAAAATGGAGGAAACTCTTTAGTTATGTCTATTAAGAATGCATTGCCGGCTTGTAAGGAAAAAAATTTCAGGCTCATTTTCGTATTTCAATCAGTTTTCCTGAAAATCTAAACTACAAATTGTTGCATAGCAAGCTTTACATAAATCTTCGTGCTTTCAGAGGACCATGACCAAAAAAATATTGGTATTTCAATAGATTAACGGTTATGTAAGATGTAAAATTTCATCATTGCAGCATAACAATAATTTACAGTGCGATTTTTTCCATTTGCTGTTGGAAAAAATAATAGGAACTGCAGAGCTAAATAAACATAGACCAACCTTTTACAAGAGCGTACAACTGCTGGCGACGAACTTAAACCAAACTCTAAAAGTCACTCCAGTCCCGTTCTACTACATGGTGTACCAGCCTGGTATGATTGGCTACGGCGATTATCATTAAGGAATGATGAACTGTATGAGTTATAGGGTGACCTCGATATAGGTTAACGATCGAAGATGAAGCGGCTACCCTGTCTTGTCATCCAAATGAAAGAGAGTACTACAACTCTGAAAAGATTCGATGCAGTTCCCATCGTTGTAAGCAGAGGAAAACGAAGACGTCCACTTCGGTGGAGAGATCAGCGACCTGGTTTCCCTTGTTATATCCAATTGGCGTCGAAAAACGAAAAGAAAGAATGAATGGCGCAAAGTT